CCAGAACTCGAGACACATTTGCTGCGAACCTGCACTTTTGATGTAAAGTCATGTTCATTCAAAGTATACAGTTAGAATACAAGATATCGATTACATGATGTAGAAAAGCTAAATTGATTCATGCTAGAAATAGCGGTTGGCAGGGGTTCCTAGCTAAAACACCATGCTTTAGAAAAAATCCTCGAAAGAGTCTTGCCGCTGACGCGTCTGCTAAGTCTATCTCTTCGTACTCGATGCGTAACCCACTCACGCCGCGTTCACGCGTTCCAGCGATACCCGACCGTAACGTAGTGTTAGGGTCGGGTGCTGACGACCCGAACCCTCGAAGCACCTGAAGCCGCAAGTTTTCCCTTTCCTTCTTCCCCTCAGCCATGTCCAACATCTCTTGCGGCACACTTCCGGAATACAATCGTATCACAGCACACCCGTTCCGCGGCACCACTACCAGGTAAACCTCATGCCGTCCAGCCCTCTGCTCTCTCTTAGCCGTGGCCTTGACTTGGGCCTGCTTGTGCAGCAGCTGACTTAGCCCAAGAAACACCCACCCAAGGTAGCAATCGTCATCAACGTCCCCGTCCTCCCTTTTCTCCTTTCCCCCCAAACTCGTCTTCTGCGCCACCGTATCCATCCGCAAGTATGCTACGCAACCCTTTCCTTTCGCCTCGAAAATCCCCCCTACCTCCAACTGCGCCACGTGCGATACCGTCTTCGCCTGTAGCCCCCACACCAAATCTCCCTCCGCCGTCACACGAATACCCTTCCGTAGGACCCCGTTTTTATATATCCTGTCTGGTCCATTAGCCCGAGCTCTTCTTCAGTTGTGCCGCCAGTGCATCAATGCTTGCCCTCTCGAACGCAGTCCATTGTTGACCATCCAGCCCTTGACCGCTGCCTGCTTCGATGGAACCACGGATTCACGCAATCGTTTGATCACCAGATTGTCGTCATCCTCTTCCTCCCCTCCTCGGCGGCCCAGCACACTTGTACCTTCTACCCGCACATAGGTCGGTCCCTGCCGTTGCCTCCTCGTCTCTTCCAGCCGACTGGATGTCTTGAACGTGTTTGGCGTTACCACCGCAGACCGCGTAATTCGCCGCCTTTTTGGTCGCTCTGACTGGACACCGCCGTCGCAATCGTCTTCTCTAAGCAACCCTTGCTTGGCCGCTAAACCTCCTATCCGGGATGTCAGGTCGTCGTCATCGTCTGCACGTACCCGTTTACGCCCTGTCGTCGGTTCCGTTGTCGTGCCCGCTGCCCCACCGTCAGTATTTCTCGCATTGCCATCACTACGTGTTCTTACTGATTCCCGAGTCCATTGTGTCTTCTTTTTCGTCTCTCAAGGCTATTCGGTCGCTTCTAGATGTAACCTCTGCTGAGCCATGTAGATGGAGGTCGCAAGTTTCCGCTCAGACCGCGTTGTCAACACGGCTCCACTTTACCCTCGTCATAATCTCGCTGATGTAAGCGACGCTTGAACTTCCCCGCCAAATATCCATTAATCACACTCCGAAAACTCACCCCACCAGGTCAAGGTTCCTTCAAACAACCTGCGTAGCCCTTACCCCCCTCCCAAAATGGTCGCAACCATATACACCGCCCGTTTCCACGAAGACTTCCCTCGCTTCCAGCGGGAGTACGGAGACCTCACCGACAAGGACCTGCAGGCGTCCGCTAGCAATTGCAAAGCTGCCCATCTTCCCTATCTACGGCTTGTCGTCCGCAACCAGAGTAACGACCCCGAGATCCTACCAATCTTCGCCAACGATCATGCCGCCGCATGTCCCCGCTGCCATCCAGCTCACTCGCCTCAGCACCTTCACCAGGATAGACTTGACTACGTCATGCAGCACATCAGTATGAAAAGCCTTCTTCGAAAGTCCCGTACTGAGCTCGACGACATGCCCTGTGCCGAATTCTGGACCACCCTGGCCGAGTGCATTCGTCCAGGCCACCCACCACTCACCAAGTCCTACACCTTCCGTCCCCAGAACTCCTCCAAGCTTTCGCAATACTACGTCAACACCTTAACCGCCATTCAAACAGACTCCTCTTCCCCACCAATGCCACCCTCCTCCTCTGAATACTCGGCCGACTACGAACTTGATGAAGACGCGTTTATCAATCTTTGCAACGTTCCGGAATCCCTCACCAACCACCTGGCCTATATGACCGATCGCTATGCTCTCTACTGCCTCCAACAGCAGGACCCCGACGCCGAAATACGCGCACGGCTGAACTCAGTACGCTACACCGCACGAATTGGCCCCGCAACTATCACAAGTTGGGACGACGGAGGTCTCGCCCGCTACGAAAGGCAACCCGACGGCTGGTTCATCGCAAACCCCTCCATCGCCATCCGTGAATCCAAAATAGCCTCTACGAGTGTTGCATACGACCCAACCACCGCCGACATCAACCCTGTCATTACAAATGAAACTCTGGCCCAGTATCTTGTGGAGGCTGTAACCGCCATGCGCGCCAACCCTCCCTATATGCAAACCCAGTACAGTCTTCCCGCCCTTCCCCGTCAACCTGACCCCCTAACTCGACCCTCAGCATCATTCTAGTGGCCCATTGCAGTGTCTTCTCCTGCTTCATCCACTTTCATGCTGGCGCCCAATACCACGCCTTTCACGACGCAAAGTCCAATGCAGACCGTCAAGCCTTGGCTGACAAGTATCCCGCAGAAACGTGTATTTACATGGCTTCAACCCGCTGGTTCTGCCTGCTCAAACCCAGCCACCGAGGTTCTCGTTTCTGCAACTCATACTCTTCTTTACGCATGTACAACCATCCGCCTCCCTCGCCTCTTCTCAATTCATATAGTACCCACGATAACTTACATGACGATGACAATGACGATGACAATGACGATGACAATGACGATGACAATGACGATGACAACGATGACGACACTGACGACGACAACGATTCCACTAGTTCTCAACTCCTGCCTACAATCACTGACAAAGGCAAACCCAAGCGCAAGCGCGCTGATCGCGAAAGCCTCGACTCTACCTATGCCCCTTGATCTACATATCAACCCTCACCACCTTCCTCAACCTCAGTGATAGTGCCTAACTCGTTCTTGGCCAGATACACGTACCTAGGCAGAGCAAGCTACGCGGCCAGCTTCAGCGAGTTGCCAGAGTGCAAATATACATGTATAAGCTGGCTATTATATGCGTTCTGGCGCACGATCAATCAATGAACGGCTTTTTCCATCCCATATTCTCTTTCGTATGCGTTCCAGTCAAACAATGGGACGGGTTTTGAAACCCGTCAGGGCCTAGCAAAGAGGAGTGTCGCTTTTTTGCGTCAAAATGAAAAGGCTTGGCCATTTTCTGGTGCGCAGGTACCTCTAGCAGCGTAATTTGGTGGCAGTGTGACACAACGGTGACGGACTTGGTATCTAGGGGTTGTTGGAGGGGATGAACAATGATTTCGCATGAAAGGGATGAGCGTAGTTGGCTGGTTTGAGGAGAAAAAGGCAGGCATGCAGGCAGGCCACATCTTGCCCACCATATTTGTACGTACGAACGGCAAAGGACAGTCGTGATTGTGTACGGTGGCACCGTTCTGTCTAACCCTGGAGGCAGTGCCAAAGACCTGAAACATTCTCATCCAGATCTCCATAGTAGCACATGGGATGGGGTAGTGTGATTGCTATTCGTTTTATTGTACTTTATCCTCTACCGTAGTTCTATGTATGTGTTAGGTAGTCGATGTAGAAGGACCGGTGCTGCTTCTCTATTGTCGCCTCCCCTCTACCTAAGAGTGACAGGAAGAAGGAGACGGTGGCAACGTGTCCTATGCGCGATGGGTGCCCCCGATGTCCTGTATAACGCGGAGCACCGTGTGGTAGTCTACAAGAAGTGCGGCACCTGCCTTGCGCCCGGCGGTCTCAAGGCATGGGAAGACCACCTTAGGAGGAAGTTGCACTGGTTTAAAGGCGACGAGCTGTGCACGACGGTAGATCTGCTATTGCCATATGCCCTACGAGAGAAGGAAGAGCTGAAAAGGTGGCGACCAAACAGAAGAACACCCTGCGAGAATATCGAGGCACTAGCACACTGCGCCGGCTATATATGCCTATGCGATCCTGCAGTATGCGACTTTGTAACAACACGATTAGAGGCGGGGCATGGCTATATGGCGAGGCATGCAATGAAGGCATCGCAGAACAGCCGCAGCTATTGAGGCATGCGTGCTGAGCAGGAAAGACTGAAACGGGTGCCTGCACATGCGTAAGAATGTCCAGCACGGTAAGACATGGCAGCCCTGCAACACGTGCCTGTCCTGACCTGGCAAACATCCGTGCACGATTATTCATTGTATATGCTGATGGCTGCACGAAATGAACAAAGTTCATAGCTTGCCCTACTGACAGCATTTTATTTATTGGTACATAGCATGAGCAAAACAGTTACTCAGATTAGCTTTACTCCTTTTGCCTGCTAAACTCAAACAGACATAGGAGCCCAGCTTCACTTGTCTAGTTGCCGTTCCTGCATTGCTTCTACGGTCTCATCCCACAGAAGACTCCTGCGAACACGCAGTGGTTAGACACTGCCAGCATCACCCACGTACTCACGTTCTTCTATGTTGTTGCCATTAAACTCTTCTAATTCTCCACTTACATCAACTTCTTCCTCAATACTGGCCTCCCTGAACGAGGCGTCCTCATGATTATGCACTAATCGCATGTTAGCTCGACTGAAGCATGCACATCAACGTATGCGAGATGCCTACGCGACAACTTATCTAAAGCGGAGCTTAATGCAGCATCACACTGGTGCTTATGCTTCTCGTGCTTTGCGAAAGCTGGTAGAACTTTCTCGTACCAGTTCTCGTCGCCGCTGATCCTTTCCCAGTCCCAGTGGTCCACTATCTCCGGGGGTGTGACCTGCCAGAGGCAAACGTAGTGGTCGGCATATATTGCCTTTCCGTAATGGTAGGGATCTTCAATGTCGCAATGCTCCATTTCGTCCAAGACAGGTAAAACCGGCAACCCATCCTTCACTCGTATGTTAGGGTTGATTGCTGTCAGCGTCTTCTTTCCTGGCCTTTTGGGATTGGTTATCATCCCGGCTATTTCATCAATAGCCGATGGTGACGAGGTAAAGAATATGTAGGGACCTGGAGCCCATACTTTATGGTCCAGATGCTTTGTCAAGGTAGTCTTCCGCACCGATGCATTGTCGAGGCGCATCTTGGTGTCCCGCGCCATCATGAAGTTCGCCGCAGTTGGTTGACTGCCTGAGAAGCAATCCCATATTCTCAGTAACGGCTTATCGAGCTTTTTGTTGTACTGTGGCCTCCATGGGTGCTTTTCTTCTTCTACTTCAAAGATGGACTCCTTTTCCGGGTATAGAAGCGCTGTACCAAGCTGGCATATCATGCCGATGGTGTCGCCAGTGACCCTGGCAAAATGAAAGGCCTGCGTACTGCACTAATATAGAGAGTAGGAATTAGAAAAATGCTGGATCTTGCATTGGAGAAGAGATGATTCATTCAGGTTTTTGTCAGAAAAATATATTAGCTTTCCGGTGCGTTGTTTACGGTCCTTCAACTGGTTGAATGATAAGGTTTGCGCGTCCGCAAACGGTTCCCATGGCGTCATCGCCCAAGAGAGTGGAGTTTGTATAGCCCAGAGGCCAAACTGCATTTCCACCTTGCGACTTCCCCATACTGACATGTTTTTATTAGCTGTCTCCGTGGAATATATGTATTCTACTGTAGTTTTTGGTGAAGAGGTTCCGTCAGCGGAGAGCTTCAAATGTTAACAAGTGAATACTTCATTTCATTTCATTCTATTTAACGTCTATGGTGTAGCTCTAGTGTAAGCAAAGAGACGTGCTAGCTATGCTCTACGGATGAACGTGCCGCCGTTTCGGTTAGCGTGACGGGGCGCGTCTGGAGGCGGGAGGCGCGTCCGGAGTTCTCACCAGGGGCTAACCGTACCAGCTTCCTGACCTGAACATCCTCCCATAGCAGCAGCTGCGCGCCGATCGAGTTAGAACTGCTTCTTCTCAATTGGCAGTTTGTTCTGTAGGTGCCTTCCGTCAGCGGATAGCTACTTGTACTGTTTTACAGCTTTGTTTTTGCGCCACTGGAGCTTTGACGCGTGTTCCCCTGCGCAAGCAGCCAAGTCAACGCTGGCCTCTCATTGGCCAGGACTGGCTGAAGACCCATTTATTCAGGGGCTGTGGACTGTATTGGTCTCAGCCGGCGGTGGAGGCAGGCTGATTCTGCAGTTATCATGGGAATACCTTTTGACCCCTTTGTTTTGTTCCTATAATTGTATACAAGTGCCCTATTCTAACAGAATTTGTACGAGCAGTTGTCACTGCTCGGGCGTTTGGTTCGTCTCTTACTCGCCAGCTAAGAGCGCCTTCCGTTCCTTAGTATCGTTTATTGATCTTCGTATAATGGAAGTCAGCGAGCTTTACGTAGGTCTGGAAAGATCTACCCAGGTAAGTCCGTATCGCGTGTTCAGGCTCGGGGTTCAGCCGAGGCCTGAGGCTGCGGGAGATCTTCCTGCAGTAGAAGCTGTGGGTTGGAGACTTCCGGTGTTCGCATGGGCAGTTGAGATCGGCGTCTTCGTGCTTGAAGCGCTCGTGGTAGTCTGCGAAGTCTCTGTGGTGTGTCCTCGCGGCTAGGAGATATCCTAGCTGGCGTCGTTGAAGCGTTAGCTCAGGGAGCTTCTTCAGCTCCGCCTTTAATTGCAGCCCGCGGCAGCTTTCTCGGTCTACTGCATCCCACCATCGCTGGAATGCGATGGCGAGAAGACTACGCATGTGGCGCTTGCAGTAGAATACTGTGGGAGAGTTTTCTCCCACCGGCATCCTGGCTCCCTGGCGAGCTGGTCGGCCAGCTCGTTACGGTTGAAAATGTGATTCTTCAAGTGTACTTCTTCTCTATCTAGAGAGATTAGATATACCTCTTTATAGGTACAAGCAAGCTGCCTGCAGCTTGCTTTTGTTGCGTTGCAACACTACTGATACATTGTGACGTTTGATCCCTTGATAATTGCTTTTGGTAGCTTCAGCCTCTGTATCAGAGCTGCTGACGTCACCTGCCGTTCAGAAACAACTGTTACCTTCAATCCCGACATGAACTGGGCACCAACGCACACGGATCATCTCAGGGTTTGCATCACCCGTCTTCTGAAACGGAACGCCATTTGTGATGACGGTGGTGCTGTCGTGCCTATGCAGTCAATGACCGAGGTGTTGTCGATGCAGGCGGTGATCTTTTCCTTTCGGTGTCGTTGCGCGATTGCAGCACGGATGCCCTCTAGGGCGCCTCTGATTTCGGCGTCGAACACTTCGCCCTTACCTATCTGTCCATGCCCTTGTGCTACGAGTCGCTGCTGCCGATAGACAGCATACCCGCATCCCGCTGTGTCTCTTTCGGTTTTAGAACCGTCGCTATAGACTACCAGTCCAGTCTGGGTCCTGCTACAGGCTTGCATCCGCTCAATCTGACGTTCTTTTGTCAGGCGCCTCCCTTTGCTTTCCGTCCAGATGGCATCAGAGAAGCGTTGGAGAATCAGGCGTGGACGCTCCATCGCTGGTGTCAGACCGGCATTGCGGAAGAGCCTGACGCCTTTCATGGCTGTTCGCCGTGCCGTGACCGGGTGAGGGGCGTGCTTGATTTCGTGTTCCTGCTGCAGAAGGCGGCGGACAAGCGGGTGCTGGGTGTCCAAGCGCGCCCAGCGGTTTGCATTGCGCGCCGCTATCTGCTCCAGCCAATTCTGCTGGCGGGATGCCGGCTTCTTTCCACAATGTGTTCTTCGGCGTCGTTTTCCATGAGGGTAAAATCATCCGACAGGCTGTCAGCGTCTTTTGTATGGTTGCAAGATGTCCTTTTGCCACTCTCTCCGTTCCCGGATACCAGACATCGACTCTGTAGAAGAGTGTTGGCATGGCCACTGCCCATGCCGTACTATGTGCCACAGCAGCTGAGATGCCGCGGACGGTGTTGCTCATGCCTCGCGGGTTGTATACGACGCCTTTTGCTTTCACTGCCCACTTTGAAACGTGAACACCGAAGTTGAGGCGCGCATCAAACCAGATGCCCAGCCATCGCATTGCTGGTTTCGGTCGGACCGTCCGATTCCTGTGTCGGATGGGTGGCTGGCTGCTTCGTTTCTGGTTTGTGAAGTGTAACACTTCTGTTTTGTTGACGTCAAAGGCGAAGCCTTCGCTTCGCCCCCGCTCTTCCATTGCCGCGATTGTGGCGTTAGCTTGTGCGGTAGTTTCGCCAGAGTCTCTCCAACAAAGAGCATCGCCGTGTCGTCTGCGTATCCGTATCTCTGGGCCGCGTCGGACAGGAAATAAATTGCCGCTATAATCAAGATGTAAAGTATTGGGGAGATTGGCTTGTGGGAGGCCGCATCGCAGTCTCCCGATTGGTGTGGTAGTGTCTTGGAAACGCACACTGACTAGTCTGTCGAGCAGGAAGCTCGCTATCCATCCGACCAAGAAGCCCGGCCACCCCTGCTGCCATAGGCGAAGGATCGTGCGGTTGCGGAGGATGGCGTCGAAAGCGCCCATGACGTCTTTTGTGAAGAGAGTTGCCACCCTGCCAGCTACAAGTGCTTTCTCATGTCGTAGTTGAGGGACACCACAATGTCTACGTGCTCGGGCCGGGCTGGGATAGATGCCGTATTTGATGGCGGCGTATGCCATTCCTTCTTGCAACCACCCGTTCTAGTCCTTTGCTGAGGCAGGTAAGGAGGTGATATGGGGCGCCATGTGGACACATCGCTGAGGTTTCGCTTGTTCGGCTTCGGAATCATGACTACTTCGGCAGTCTTGAAGACGCTGGGGTGTTGACCGAGCTGTAGGCAGGCATTGTACATTGTCGTGAGTGGTCGGCCAGGCTACTTGCAGCATCGTCGTTGTGATACCGTCTGAGCCGGAGGTTGTGTTTCCGTGTGTAGGACAGCTTTCTCCATCTCCTTGGTCGAGATGTTATTGCAAATGGAATCTCCTTCGCCGGGGTTGACAGCTTGTTGCCATGCGTTGGGAATGTCGTCCGATGCGTCGCGGCGTTCTTGTTTCTCCTCGCGTAGCGCCATGGCTTTCTCCATATCGGTAGAGTAGGCCATGTCGCCCACCTGGATCGGCGAGGGTTGGAGTCTTTATCTCGACTTCATCCACTTGGTGGGTTTCAACGTCTCCCGTGTCCTGGCCGTCGGTTTTGGTGGGCTTGTGCTGTTGTTGCGAGAGCTGCCATCGCTCGTACGCAGCTTTGCCTGGCCGGATGGCGTGGTTGTCGGTTTCGGTGCCTCTCCATCGGACTGTGTGAAGTCTAGTCTGCTCTTTGGTGGCTGCTTCAACAGTTTGCTTGTAGTCGAGTTCTGTGCCATCCCGAGACGTAATTGTCCGTGGGAAATTCTTGATAAGATATGTTTGCCATTCAATGTCCTTTTCCGCGATCTCCTGCCCAACCAAGGGACTTCAAAGTTGCTCTGCAAAGCACGACCCATGAAATCGTATGAGTGCTCTAGGGTATCGTTCAGCGAAGCACAGCGGGCAATGGGAGAACTTGCTATCGAGAAGCGGGGCTTCTTTTAGGAAAGAAACCTGACCTATGGACGAATTTCTTTTCTTTTTTTGAGGCGTGATAATCTCTTTCTCTTCTGATGCACCTTTCTCGGGATAAAGGGATAGTAATACCGCTAGCCCGCCATGCCATAGAAATACGTCTGTATGCGCTGTTCGCTGGGGAGTGTAGCTCCGTGCGGGCGATCACACCCCATTGCGGTCCTTGGTCATGCGCGATAAAGGCTGACTTTTGTAGCCCGAAAAACTGCAATCACGTATCCCCAGCGACCTCGCAATTTCGTCATACCCAAAAAATAACCAAAAAACAAAGTGAAGCCCGGGAAAAACTGCTCATGTTGCCACCGGCAGTTTCCGTGCCGTAGGCCAGAGCGCCGAGGCGGATGGCTCCCGGTTTGGCGGCAGGCCATTGTCGTAGTTCTCGCACGTTCACGGGACGATCGAAGCTACGATCGGAACACGCTGAACGTAGGACAGTGCCAGGAGCATACAACATGACTGTTATGATGATGGCTTCATGCCACGAGGTGTTAACAATATAGACTTCGTAAATGATTTAAAAGGAGATCAACGCGGCGAAGTTGCTAGCGATTGATGCCTCTTGGACGCCACAGAAGCCTCAAGCCAAGGGCCAGCAATGCTATGCACGCGCGAGCGGGGACTGGTGACGTTCTCTAGCACAGACCTGCGTTGTCGAACCGATCAGCACAGGTAAACGAACAAATTTCGTCGAGCGAACCAGCATCCCGGAGCGATGCTAATACACTTGCTGATCCAAGCGAGCCTGGATCATCCACAAGCGAGAAACCACAATCGGCCAAACCTGTTCCGGGGCGGGCGACTCACTACAACGGCCAAAAGTGGGAGTACAAAGGCTACAAGTGGTTGGAAGCAGGCATTCTGTCCTTGGAACTCAAGCTTGTCGCATCAAACGGTAGAACCGAGTTGGTCCGCGAGATAGAAGTGCATCGCGACAACCCTGAGGGGCTTCTCGGGCTATGGAAGGCCACTCCCCGACCTGAGCCTAGTTCTGAAAAGTACGAGCCTCTGCAAGTCGTTGAGAAAACAGAGGATGGGCGATGTAGGATGCAGTGGACAGGTTTCGATGCGCTGGAGAACACGTCATTGGAGACAACGTCGAGGATTCGCAAAATCGCCCCGGAGTTGTTGAAAGAGTACCGGAACAAGCAAACCGGATACCAAGCAAAACGCCCAGCCAAGACTTCTACGCGGCCTATCAAGGCAGCCAAGCAGCGGAAGCCGCACCGTCCACGGCGTGAACCGAGCCAGTAAAAGAACTGACCGTAAGAGGTCGGTACTGCCACGCGAGACGATCGGCCCTGATGGAAAGTTTACGCGCTAGGTGGGAGACGTCAGCCACTGCAGGTAGCCATCGCATGTGCCAAATCCGGCGACCTGGATCTCGTGCGGGTCAACTCCCAGGACTTCGCATCGGCTGAACCAGCACTCATCTATGCTTCTCGCAGACGCACAAGCAGGAACTCTGCCAGAGGTAAACGCTGACATGTCGCACGCTGCCGATGTTTTTAAAAAAGTTCGGCGAGGAACGACTGGTGGGAGTTGGTAGGGTCATTCACACCAAGAGTACTGAACGCAACCACTCCAAGCAGGACGTCTTCTCTTTCACGCTCGGTGTGAAAGGCCGCTAGTAAGTTGATTCAACTATCTAGTTCC